TGCAGTGTTAATGTACTGGAGTGTCCAGTCAGTGTGCCTGTAATTTAATAATTCCTCTCTCAGTTCGCCTGCAGAAAGGAAGTCCCAGGAGGTCACCTAGTGTCAGTCCACAGTAACCAGTCCAACACTGACCTTCTGTGTGTCGTCATGAAGTACAACAACACCAACCCTCGTATCTGGCTGGGAGCCTTTGAACTCTTCAGAGTGAGTTCCTGGGGACAACTGTGGCCGACCACCTGTGTGACTCTATGGTTCTGTCCATCTGTCTGTGTGGGACTTTGTGGGACTCTATCTCTCTGTTTTTCTGTGTAACATGTCTTTATCTCTGTCTCTTTGTATTAGATCACTCTACCTTTTCTCTAGTGATCCCTCTGTGAAGATATACTCTCACTCAGGGGCAAACCCTCAAGGCCAAGAGTGACTGTGTTCCACAAACCCAGAGCTGCCTGATAAGACCAGCATCTTATCCAGACTCCCTGTCGGGTCAAGCAGGTGCTGTCTCAGGAGATATGAGACTGTGTACCATCCAACCCGATCAGGACAAGCTGGATTGGATGTTCATGCTTCGCTTCCTTGTTCTGCGTGTCTTTGGGTCTCAAAGTGCTGTTTTGTCTTGAGATACTCTTCTTCATTCTGGGTCAGTGAAGGGCCACAGTCTTCCAGGAGCTGAAATCAATGTAGTTTTATTATCGAATTTGCAACATTTCTTCTGGCCTCCGCTGGTGTGAATGCCTTGGCTAAGCTGGGCAAAGAGAGACTTCTTAGGGAATCTGGAGTCTGATGTCCAGATGACTCGACCAAGCCAATGGAGCTGATGGCAGATAAATATGGGTTCAATTCTTGCAGAGTCTTGGGAGAGAGCACTGATTTGGTGTGTGTCCCGTCTTTGCCATGTGAAATCTTCCACACAGAATGCCTTTCGTATTCTGGTTGGTGATACCACTGCATGTGGTCCATGTTTTAGAATCCTACAGTGGAGCAGGCGACCAATGGTGCTAAACACATTTCTTCTGCTGAGCCGTCTTCAGATGGCAGGGAGAGAGAGGGAAAGAATCAAAGGAGAACAAAAGAATGATCCTGTGAGATTGGGCATGAAAAAATCGAAGGGCGATCCAAATGAATGGGAGTCTGGGAAACAAATTCGACACAGTAGAATTGTGAAAGGTTGAACTCGGAAAATGAATGGAGAGGTGAAAAGAAATAAGATGATCATTGAGAGATGGTAGAAGGTGTGATCTGAGTTTAAGGATAATTCTGGCTTCTGATGTCTGTCTGGAATAAAAGTTCCTGCTGAAGGATTTAGAAATAAAGGTCAATGGGATCATGGATAGGAGAGGTGAAATGGAGCATTACTGTATTGGAAAGATCTTTTCTCCTTGTTTTCAGAGAACACATCACATCAGATTGATTTCTGCTCTTTCTTAGATGAGGCAAACTCTTAAATTTCTGGTGTGCCATGTTATGTACTGTAGTGTCCAGTCAGTGTGTCTGTACTGTATTAACCCCTCTCTCTCAGTGCAGTGTTAATGTCCTGTAGTGTCCAGTGTGTCTGTACTGTATTAACCCCTCTCTCTCAGTGCAGTGTTAATGTCCTGTAGTGTCCAGTCAGTGTGTCTGTACTGTATTAACCTCTCCCTTCCTCTTTCAGACTGGACTGTTTGTCTGGACCGATGGTACTGACTGGAATTACTGGAACTGGGTGCCTGGTCAGCCTGACAATACAGCCAATGCTGAGGACTGTGTGGAGATGAACTGGAAGAGTAAGTCAGTCAGTGTGTTAGTGTAAATCAGCTTGTTAGTCAGTCAGTGTGTCCGTCAATCCAATACTGTCATGAGGTCTAATCATGGTGTGTTTCTCCACTTTCTCCACTCAGACACAGGGAAGTGGAACGATGATCGCTGCTTTTACAAGAAGAACTATATCTGTGCCTTCAAGAACAGAGCATGAGAAATTGAAAGGAGCCACCTGAACTGCTTTGCTGCTCTGCTTTCCACAAGAGACACAGGGTCTGGATACAGAAGGAGAGAGAGAGAGAATGATGAGAGGGACTGAGAGAGGAAGAGAGGGAGAGGCTGTGGACGGTGTTTCTTGTTCTGCTTTGCTTGTTCTCAATAGAGGCTCCACTGTCATCTCCTCTGGGAGAAACCCATCAGGTGCTCAGTGAGAGCAGCTTCCACTGCTACTGATTGTGAAGAAACTGCACAAAAATAATAAAAAATACAGCAAACCTCAAAACATTGTAACATTCTAGTTTTTCTTCTCTTTGTAGCCAGCAATTCCATTATTATATAGTCCCATAAATCCCTTTGTGATCAGTCTCAGTGTTACCACATGCATGGTGACCTCACAGACACAGAGACCTACACACAGGCATAGACTGACAAAGAGGAGCACAGTCAGACACTCACACAAAATTACAGAGAGAAACATTCATATTCTGACAGAAAGTCTGAGTTACAACGATGTTGTTGCAGGGTCTCTCATTTCTTTATTATGGGCAATACCTATCCCCCATGGCCCCAGTCAATCATGGTGTGCCACAGGGTTCAGTCTTGGGCCCATTGCTTTTTATTATTTATATGCTTTCAGTCAGATTATACTCAAACATGGTCTTCAGTTTCACTGTTATGCAGATGATAAAAAAGATTTACAGTAAAACATCTTTCCCCATCACCTATCTCTTGATTGCGTGACATCAAACTTTGGTTGACAACAAATTTCCTGATGTTAAATAGTGAGAAAACAGAAATTTTACCGGTGGGCAGCAAATGTGAGCTGGAAAAGGTTTCACAGTAATGGTGGATAGCTTCCCCATTTATCCATCAACCATAGTCAGGAATCTGGAAGTCACACTTGATCAGCTCCTGTCGTTTGAGATTCATGTGAAAAATTTGATTACGACATGTTTCTTTTACCTTAGAAATATTGCCAGCATTACGAAATTACTATCAATGTCTGATACTGAGTACTAATTCATTTATTTATAATATCAAGGCTTGATTTGTGGAACTCTTTGCCCTATGGGCTCTCAAACAGTCTTCTTGGTAAGGTGCAATACGTTCAAAACTCTGCAGCTAGACTCCTGACTCACACCAGACCCTGGCAGCATATCACTTTTACACTTAAGTCTCTACATTGGCTGCCTATAAAGTCACACATTCAATACAAGATCATGTTACTGACATTTGAGGCTCTAAACAATCTGGCTCCATCATACATCTCTGAACACCTCCATGTTTACACTCCCACCACAGGCTCTGGTCAGTTCAGGCTGGTCCTGTGCTCACTGTCCCCAGGACTAAATCAAGGATTTTAGGTGACAGTGCCTTTTCTGTTGCTGCTCCAGCATTCTAGAATGACCTTCCTCAGACTCTACGAGAGACAACTTCTTTAACTTTCTTCAAATTCAAACTCAAAACTCATTTATTATTAATATACTGCATATATATATAATATTATTAAATTATTAAATATGTTTATAGATCATAAATACAATATATCAAACATTTCATCTATGAATCTACTGCCTTTAATTATTATATTTAATAAATAACTGCTTTTATTTATTATGAAGTCCAAAAATCTCCCTGGGTCATTTGCAACTGAAGGAACTGAGTCTCTTTAGTCTGAAGGGAGTGTCCCTCATTGACAGGCTGAAGGAACTGAATCTCTGAAGTTTTAAGCAGGGAAGACTATGAGGGGACCTGATACAACTCTTCCAGATCCTCAAAGTCTTTGACAACATCCACTCACTGGAATTCTTCAGAATCAACTTTAGAATCACGATGAGTCAATCTACAGAATAAACAGTGAAGCACAAAGAGTGGAAACTACAAAAAAATGCATTTAAATCCAGCATGAGCCACATTTTTATACAACAAAAACCTGTGGGAGTGTGGAACAAGTCACCCAGGCATTTGGACTATACCCTGGTTCCTTTCAAGAAAAGTCAGAATGAGACTCTTGCATCAGTTATCTACTTACTACCCATAGGCAAGATGACTCACTTGGACACAAGGGGACAGGAAACTGTTGTTGCTACAGAGCTGTGAGTGTTACCCTGTCTCTCCCCTGTCTCTGCTGGCCTGTCTCTCTCCTGTCTGCACTGACCTCTGCTTCTCCTCTCTCTCTCCTGTCTGGGATGACCTGTCTCTCTGGAAGCTGTGGACAGTCTATATTCTCTCGGGGCCTGTGACAGTCTGGTGTCCCTTAGTCACTATTATTGAGCACTGTTCATATGTACTGTATCAACAGACAATGTTGTAGTGCAGTTCTGATGCTGAGGTTATTCTTAAATATAAAACCCTTAGTTTAATAACTTGTATGATATAAGTGACTTTTACATATTATTCTGAAATTATAGTGTTTAATAGATCCACTCAGTTAATATTAACCCATTATCATCTGTCTGTTTAATGTGAATCTGAATAAAGATTAGAAAGAGAGAGTCTTTATGTTTCCCGAGTAGGGGCAAGTTGTTGAGGAGAGATTAGGAGCTGAAAATAGGTTTGTTCTGACAGAATACAGCCCAGTAATGTTTTAATGTAAACATTTGTGTGAAAATACTGTTTTCCAAAACATTTTACACCACTAACGCCCTCCCTATCTCCAGCCAGAGGTGTGTGTGCTGTGTGCAGAGTCCTGTTAGAATATGTGTGATTCCATTACATTGTGTGTAATGAATGTTATTGGTGGAAAGTAATTTATAAAGTCATATTTACTAATTTACTAATTTACTAATTTACTAATTAGTAATTTACTAATTTACTAATTAAATCACCACTTTGCTGTTTTAGTTAGTTGTAACAAGCTTAGTTTCTTAGTTTCTCAATTGCTCCTGCAGTGAGTCTTGTGTTCAAAAGTGTTTACAACAGGGTCTGAGGTTCAGTCACGTGTGCTACTCTCCTAGAATATGTACACAACTGACTGGGCGCTCAGACAGCCCTCCGAAACCATCTGATCCACAGCGTGTTAAAGCAAAAGGTGCACAAATGCTCTTAATATTCAAAACAACAAAACAGCAGGGTATCACTGGGGCTGAAGGGGGTATCCCACTCCAAACACCTGAACAGTGCTGGCGCTGTCCCTGAGAGAGACCCCAATACCCCACAGTAAAAACATGGAAAACAGAAGCCTTTACTGGGGCACAGACAGGAGGTGCCTTCTTTCTCCTGTTAACACACAAAAACAACAATATAAAACAACACAAACAATATAAATACAAAAACAATATAAAACAAAACAAAGCTGAAAAGATTAGACCTGAAAGAAACATAGTTTACAAGGCTTATCCTCAGAAAACCATAGGGAAATAAGGCAAGTAACTACTTATCAGAAACGAAAGAGACGACCATTTTGGAAAAACAACCTTGAGGAATACGGAAACGATCATTGCACAGTATCCTGTTTGCGATCCCCCTATTCCAGTTCCGGTTCTGGCTGAGAGGGAACGCTCGGCTGTCGCTCCTCTCTCCAGTTTGACATTAAAAAAATAATTTGATCTACTTTTTATTTCTTTTTTCTTGCTCTGCTGCCCTGGTTTCAAATGACTAATTTTTATCCGCAACTGGCGATCAGTTGATCAGCCTAGGTTTGCAAATTCTGTTCTATCCTCTGGCGTCTTTCTGGCCTAAACGAACATTATCAGGCTTGGAAAGATTACTTGTCGGAATATAAGGATGCAATAGAGTCTGCTAGATCCACCTACTTCCCTCACATGTGTGATAGGGTCTTCTCCTGTTATCCATAAGGATATCAGAGAGTCCCCTTCTCTAAACTCCTTCAAATCCAGACTCAAAACCTTCTTCTTTAGAAGAGCCTTTACTTAACTGGTTCCATTCTTTACCCCTCTGCTCCTACTGTATTTACTACCACCATCTACTGTCTCCTCTAAGTACGTTTTTTACATTTATTTTTAATTGTTGTTGTTGTCATTCTGTAAGGTGCTTTGAGAAGCCACTTTTAAAGGTGCTATATACAGTATATAAAAAATATTATAAGTAATAAGTTTATTCCATGCTGAAAAAAAGAAGAAAGAGAACACAATGTTTCGGCCGTGGAGCCTTCTTCAGGTGTCAAAAAAATATTATTATTTTTATTATTATTATTATTATTATTATTATTATTATTATTTGCCTTGTCAAGATGGTTAAGATCCCTTGGACTCTCAAACTGGGCAATACCAAGGTATGGCATACGCTATACATGCACAGCAGTCTATTCTTAAACATTTATTACTTCCAACGAAAGCAAGTCATTGGGAGGCAATGGTGGTGCTGTGGTTAGCACTGTTGCTCTGCAGTGCTGGGGCTCTGGATTCAATCATGGATCGGGGGTTCTGTCTGTGTGGAGTTTGTATGTTCTTTTCCATGTCCATGTGGGTTTCCTCCCAGTGCTCTGTTTTCCTCTCACAGTCTGAAACATACTGGTATTAAATTGGCCCTGGTGTGAGTGTGTGCATCAGTCGGCCCTGCAATGGAATGGAGTTGCAGGGTGACATGGCTGCTGGCTGCAGATAAGGTTGAATGAGGAAATTGCAAACTGCTCTGAGAAAATTCACATTCAGTGTCTTGATAGTTCATCTACCCATCACTTATCTCACCATCACTTTCACTACAGATGGAAAAACACTGTTTCAACACTCTTGTATCTTCATCAGTGTTGAGGAACCTGTGAAAAGGAATTGTCAGATCCTTTATATACCTACAGTATGATGTTGAAGCCGATACCCTGGAGTCTTTCTGGATGGGATACTCAGATCAATTAACTACTATCAAATGAACTAAGTGGGACACGCTCTCCAATCCTTCACAATCTCTCCTTGTTCTTAATTTCGTCCATCGCCGTCTCATACTCCTCACACACAACACGTCATGGAATTACACATCGAGGGCGTTGGTGGGGTCAAATAATTTCTAAAGCAATGCCTTCACACTACAATTCACAGATTAAAACACAACTGTCTTTGTTGTACTCTATTGGTCACGGCACAAACTGTTTGTTACTTTATTTGCGTCCGTTTCTATTTAGATTCACGTTAATGTGTCTGCTTAGCTTCCTGCTAAACCACGGCACTCTGACCACATTCACACCTCACACGCCCTGATGAACATCTGCAACATACTGTAAAAACAAAAAAAGCCCTGGTCGATCAATATCGAACACAATCGATACTAGACCTCGATGTATGTGGAAGAAGGGTGAGATGGTGGCACAGTGGTTACCATTGCAGTCTCAAGCACGGCCCTGAGTTCAATTCTGGCCTGGGTTGCTATCTGTGTGGAGTCTATTTCTCCCCCATGCTCATGTGAGCTTCCACTGAGTGCTCTGGATTTCTCCCCCAGTCCAGAGACATGCTGGTGAGTCGGCCTGTGTGAAAGTGCGTGTGTCTGTGTTCCTGCCCTGCGGTTGACTGCCACCCCAGACTGTATCCTGCCTTGTGTGTGTGGGTTGGATAGGCCCCGGCTCCCCCATAGACTGGTTAGAAAAGTGGATGGCTATGAGTCTAATCTTGTGATTTTGAGCTGAATACCTATAGTCTGTATTAATCTATATGAGACCCAAGACGGGTTGGAACTACAGCAAACCCTTCTACAAGAAAGTATCCAAATGCTGATTCTTTCCTGCTTTCGAGTTGGATATGTTAACGCATTTGAAGTAAGAACGACAAAATACGACAAGAAGCAAGAACGTTCTTCCTGAGGTTCCCTATGGAATTCATTTCTACCTGTTCTCTTATATATAGAAAAGACACAATAAAAACTCTCAGCAAGTCTTTGCAAGACATCAAATAAAATAACGTGACCTCTTTCGGTATTGTGGGACAGGCCACTTTTGCACATAAATAAGAATCGGCAGCAGTTTCTAAGCTCGAGGGGGTTTCCTGGCTGTGTTCTGAGTTTTGGCACAATCTTCGAAAGGACAATCGTTAAACAATCTGAATTTATCAGTTGATAAATAACTAATTTTAATAATCCCAACACAAAATAATAACAATTAGCCAAAAACAACCCTAAACCTCTAACTGCTCTTTATAAATGTTATCGCTTCACACTACTCGCAACCTGAATCCTTCCCAGCCGGCACTATCTGCAGTAGACACCATTTTCTTCTCGTTTCATCGTGAACCCAGCCGTGAACCCATATACAGCTGCTGCCCTCTAGAGGACACAAACGTACAGGACGACGTACCCCACTTCCCATAGATTGAGCACTTCAGTTGTGTGCTGAATGAAAAACTGGACCGCAAGTTCAAATGTAGTCA